GTTTGGGGTTTTTTTTTACTACTGAGCTTTAAGAGTTCATTACATATGCTAGATACCAGTCCTGTAATGGATATGTGGTTTTCTTCCAGTCTCTAGGTTGTATTTTCATCCTGTTCACATGGGCTTTCACAGAGCAAAATTTTTAAATTTGTTAACATCCGATTTTCCTTTTATGGATTATGATTTTGTGGTGAAGTATAAGAACTCTTTGCCTGGTTCTAGATCCTGATGATTTTCCTCCAATTTTTTGTTTCTAAAAGCCTTATGCTTTACTTTTACATCTAGGATCCATTTTGTGTTTTTGTATAAGGTGTGAGATTTAGGTTGAGGTTCTTTTTCTTTTCTTTTTGCCCATGGATGTCCAATTGTTCTAGTACTGTACCATTTGTTTAAAACGCTATCCTTCGTCCATTAAATTAGTTGGGTGTTTTTGTATGGGCTGATCTCTGGGTTCTATCTCTGTTCCACTGATGTCTATCCTTCTGCCAGTACCACACAGTGTTCATCACTGTAGCTATTCTAGCAGCCTTAATATTGGGTAGAGCAACTGCTCCTATTTTACTCTTTATCAGGATTATTTTAGCTCTTCTAGAGCTTGTGCCTGTCCATGTACGTTTTAGAATAAGCTTGTCTCTGTCTACAAAAAAACCCTGGAGAGAGTTTGAAAACAGATAAACTTGAGAACAGGCATCTTTACTAAGTCAATGACCACAGTATATGCCTCTCCATTTACTTAAGTCTTATTTGATTTCTTTCATCAGCATTTTATAATATTCAGCATACAGATCCTATACATGTTTTCTTAATGTATATCAAGGTATTTTATGTTCTTTGGAGTGCTTATAAATGGCGCTGTGCTTTTAATTTTGGTTTCTGCAAGCTCATTGTTAGCATATATAAGTGATTAACTTTTATGTGTGATCTTGTTTTCTGTGACCTTGCCAAACTCACTTATTAGTTCTAGAAACTTTTTTCTAGATTCTTCAGCATTTTTTTTTAACATCTTTATTGGGGTATAATTGCTTTACAATGGTGTGTTAGCTTCTGCTCTATAACAAAGTGAATCATTTATACATATACATATGTTCCCATATCTCTTCCCTCTTGCGTCTCCTTCCCTCCCACCCTCCCTATCCCACTCCTCCAGGCGGTCACAAAGCACCGAGCTTCTTCAGCATTTTTTACATAGATAATCATGTCATCTAGAAATAGGGAAAGTTTTATTTCTTCTGTTCCAAATTACGTCTTTTATTTCTTTTTCTTGAGTTACAGCACTGGCTAGAACTTCCAGCACTACAATAAATAAGAGTGGTGAGAATGGACATCCATGTCTTGTTCCCAGATCTTAGGGGAAAAGCATTTAGTCTTTCACCATTAAGTATGATGTTAGCTATGAGGTTTTTTGTAGATGCTGTTTATCAAGTCCAGGTAATCCCCTTCTATGTCTAATTTGTTGAGTTTTATCAGGAATGGGGTGTCAAGTGCTTTTTCAGCATCAACTGATATGATATGACGCTTCCTCTTTAGCTTGTTAATATGGGGAATTTAGGCTTTTGTTTTTTTTAGGCTATTTTTAAAAAGAGATATTTTACTTAAGTCAGACAGCTAAAACAAGTACTGGATCTGATCAGTCCAATGGGCATTTTGGTGGCGTTTTTCTTTATGTAAGAACTCAACCTGCCCCAACCCCAGATCTAATGACAGTAAAGTACTATGGCATATCTGACTGATCAATCACCAAGAGAAGATTATATCAAGTTTAATACAATGTGCCGAAGTTATAAATGCCAGTGACAGGTTTTGGATCAATTTTCAATTTATGAGGCATTATTCACTTAAACATTTACATTGAGAGGCATTATAGCATAACGGTTAAAAGCTCAGCTCTGCCATTTTTCAGCTGTGTGACTTTATGCAAGTTATTTAATTCCTATGTAATTCTATTTTCAACATGATATAAAACAGAAATACAGACTTCTGTGTAAATGTTGATGCATAAGGGCCTAATTAAATAAGAAAGCAAGAGATCAAGGAGACAAAAGAAAACAAAAGAGTTCAAACAAAAAGAGTCTGAGGCCAGTAAAGCACTACATATTAATAACTAGATTTCACCCTCAATTTTTATAGATCAGTATCAGTGTTATTCAAAGTATGGCCACTGGCTAAATGTCCTCGAACAAATTATTTGTTGTAGGTTTGCTACAAGATACGGAACTTGTGTTAGTAATCAACTGTGAAAATAAACACACCATTTAGTTCCATTATTCATTTATTTAGGCAGAAAGACTTTGGTGGTAAAGGAAGCAGTGTCTTGTTTAACATTTTGACACAAGCTCCCTGACTTGTCACAGATCAGTGCTTCTGAGCACTGTTCTATATCTAAAGTGTTTTTCTTAAAGCTTCAATAAATGATTTAAATTTAAGTAAAAATTTAAGATATCATAATTCAATTAAATTCTTGAACATGAGCATGTAATGAGTACCAACTACATGTCCAGAATTTGACTGGGCATTTTGGGATGGGCTAGGAGAGAGACCTGGGAGTACTGGGGTTGGGGGTCGGGGCTGGGTCGGGGAGTGTGGTTACTACCTTCACTTTAGAAGCTTACCATCTAACAGAAGTGTGTAGAGCTCATCTAAGAAGCTGGGAACGAGCTCTCTTTCTTGTATTCTCAAGAATCTCAATGTCAGTAATAACAATGCTGTGACTGTCTCCTCAATGGAGCAACAGAGACAGCAAGGTTGAAATCAGAGGCAGACACTCTGACCATAAAGAGTGGAGGAATCTTCTTTTGAAGGGCTCTACACACCTCTGGAGAATTATATCAAAATCAATTAAGCTTTGAAGTATAGGCATTGTTTCAGGAAAGGGTCACTTTCTGCTGCTTACTTAGGGAATTCTGAAATGTGAAATAAGGAACTGCTTGAGATTTCTTCAGTTAATTTTATTTTGATCCTCCTACAAGGATTTTTCAGGAATTAATCATAGTAATTGGAAAGGAAATAATGTTATCCAGAAGGAAAAAAAAGAGGAGATAAGAAAGCGGTCTCTAAAGAAACCAAGGTGAATATTCAAAAAGATGTACTCTGGGGGCTTCCCTGGTGGCACAGTGGTTGAGAGTCCGCCTGCCAATGCAGGGGACACGGGGTCGTGCCCCGGTCCGGGAGGATCCCACATGCCGCGGAGCGGCTGGGCCCGTGAGCCGTGGCCGCTGAGTCTGCGCGTCCGGAGCCTGTGCTCAGCAGCAAAAGAAAAAAAGGGGGGGGGGCCCGGGCCCAAAAAAAAAAAAAAAAAAAAAAAGAGATGTACTCTGATAAGCAAGAAATTTTAATTCTATAAATTAAATACAAAGGGCAGCACAAGTATAAAAGGAACAAATCACCAAATATAAATATAAGTGAATAGCTTAGATTTATAAGCATATCAGAAGGGCGAAAAAGCTTAAAACAGGAGAGGATTCTGAGTAATACTAAGACCAATACAAAAGTTTCAGAATTGTATTCCAAGCATGAAAAGTTAAGGGAAAGTGAAGGTTCACATCTGGGGATAGCTGGTGTAATGTGAAGAGATAACAACAAATGAATAATTACTTAATTCCAATTTTATTCCTATCAGCTCTATTACAGAGAATGATCTTTACATGATGAATGAAAAACCAGATACAAAAGGATACACACCATTCTATTTATATAAAGTTCAAAATATGCAAAATATGTAAAATAATCTATAATGTTAGAAATCAGGATAATGGTTGCCTTTGGGGGAAAGCAGAAACTGTGAAGGGGCCTTGGGATACAGGTAGCGTTTCTTTCTTGATCTAGGAGCTGGTTACACAAATGTGTTCACTTTGTGAAAATTCATCAAGCTGTACACTTAAGTTGTGTTGACTTTTCTGTAGGTGTGTTATATGTTAATAAAAAGTTAAAAGGAAAAGAAAAAGAAGCTAAGTCCAAAGTGTTACGACTGGCAAGGAGCTCACCTTACTTTATTAAGCTAAGGTTTAGTTCACTTCTCTGGTCCAAATGACCCAAGGAGCTGAAAAAACTTGCACTGATGTTAATCTGTAAGTATCCATGAAGTTAAGGAGTTGAAAGAACACGGGATTAGCAAGTATTTTTCGAATTTAATAAAAAATGGAGCAGAGGGGGTACAGGAGAATGGGTCTCAGGAACTATATACTATACCAAGGAGCATAACATCGATGCTGAGTAAAAATTAATAACACAAAGTGGGTATGATAATACTTATTGAGTAAATAAATGCACAGGTCCATTTGATTCTAGTGACTCACTGAGAGAGTATGTACTCTCAGAATCAAGACCTTCTTTCTCTCTAAAACTGCAAAGTTTCAAGATGATAATTTAATATATGAGTTTTAGGAGTGAATTAGATCAAGAAAATCTAATCTAAGACAAACACAAAGATTTAGAAATAAGTTTCAAATCTATTTTTTTAAATGTACATGTATATAAACAGAATTTATTATGTGTACTTTGTTAACTGGTAATTAAAATTTGCTTAAAATAAAATCTGCTTGCATGAAAACACAATCTAATGAAGGTAATTCAAAAATAATGGAAGAAAAGAAATTTTAACAGTAGTTGCATTCAATTGGTAAGATATAAGATTATTCTACTTTATTTTTCTAAAGTGTCTTTAACAAGCACATTTAACTTTTACATGAGGAAGGTGGAGGAATTCTGTCTAGCACATAGCCCACATAGAAAGAGGTTATTAAGAAAAAACAATAGTAACTTCATCAGATGTTGTGAGAATTTCAATGACAGTGGTAAGGTACTTCACACAGTGCCTGGTAACTCAATAAATGGAAGCTTCTATAAATGTATACCATTATAAATTATTTAATGATATATTTTTATGCTGTGTAGTTTTAGGGATGCCTACTAATTTGCTGTAGTATTTTCATTATTCAAGTTATACAAAATTTTAACATCAGAAAAAATCTAATTATTTTTTATTAAACACAAATCACTCTTACCTTTCGCAGTTCAACTGTCACTTCATTTCTGTGTCTTCGCATTGTCTAAAAAGAAAGCCAAAAATTTCATAAGTATCTAAATATTGATACTGCTAGTACATAAATTAAGGTCTCTGGCATTTAAGATTTAAATTTAAGATTCTATTTTTAAAGATTAAGGATTAATCAGCTTTAGACTTTAAATGATGAACTACAGGAGGTTAAAAAGCCAAAACTCCTGTCTATTTTACTGGATATCTGTTGGTTAGTTTTGTGGGGAGTGGGAGGTAGAGCTTGGCTGCCTAGGATCCATCCCCGTTTCCTAACTGCACCCAGGTTTCTATGGGGAATTATATACTCTCCATTGTGTACAGTCTTGATGGAACCATCTATTAAAGCATCTCACTTTCTGCTAGCAAAAACAGGGCATGAGCTTAAACTCAGCCAGCAGAACTCTCCCCTATAACTCTAAACCTAGAGCAAAATGGAAAGAAAAAAAAAAAAGCACATTAATTTCCAAAGGAAGCATTTGGACAAGGTAGTGAACCATGCCTATATCCTGAACTTGCTGTGTTCCTAGTTACCTGGTGTCCGTAACTCATTCTTTGAACCACCTCATATTCTTTTATTTTACTTTTCTACTTTTTTCATCTTTTTATTATGGAAATAGAAAAGTTGAAGAGTAGTGGGCACAGAGAACACCCAGAGAGTAATTCAAACAACGGGACCCCAAGTGATGAGTGCACAGGGGCAGGGCCCCAGGACAGAGCCAGAGGAGGTGGAAGAAGCAGCCGGGCTGGGGGTGGAGCACAGGAGACCTGAAGAAGGCGTGTCCCAGAGGCCAGGTGCCGACAGGCGGACGAGCCACAAGGAAGCCACCAGAAACTCTGACAAGTGCTTGGGTGGAACCCTGGTGGGAAGGCCGCCGTAGTTTCTAAAAAGCACCCAGCAAAGGTAACAGAGACGCTGAGTACTGGCAATCCTTTCAAGGAGTCTTGCTCCAGGACAGCAGTTTGAGAACCTCAGAGTCCACACTGGTGAGGAAGCAGGGTCCTCAGGGGCACAGCGGTCCAGGACACCTTTTGAGCACTTCTCAAGCATCATGGCAGGCCCTTCTCACAGGAGCCCTGCTGGGTCGTCCTCATCGTCCCTGGTCCTCAGGTAAGAAAGCCTGTAGGGGTCCCCCAACTTTAAGGAGCGGCTCCCAGCCTCTCCTGGGGATGGAGCCCCAGGGCCCTGTGGGCAGGCACCACCTTGCTCCATCTGCAGGTGCACCATCTCTAGAGGCTTCTTCTTTCTCTGAGTCGGCAGGGTCTGCCCGGAACCCCCACCTCATATTCTTCTAATAAATCATGGTTTTGCTCTTAAGTCAGCCAGAGCTGATTTTTGATGCTTGCAACTAATGTATTCTATTGCAAATGATTCATGTTTAAAAAAAGTAAATGCCTCATTGTCATGGCCTTAAAATCACATAAAAATGAAAATAAATTTGGGATAGATATTTTGTATCAAAAGATAAAGAAGTATCCTTCTACAATTTACTAAGAGGCTCTATCAGGAATGTCTTAACAGGAATTAGTGAAATGACTAGATATCCCTTCTCCCCTTGACATAGTGATATAATGGATTACTTTATTACACATACAAATATGATAAATGGTTACATTTTCAGAATAAAGGCTACATGTTATGGTATATTATTATTTTAATATACTGCTAAATTCAGTATGTTATTATTTTATTTAATGATTCTTTTGTTATGGTACCTCTGTCAAGTTTTCTTAAACTGCAGTGATAAATTAATCTCTTTGCAGGGAAAAAATATCCCATGGAACACAAATTACAAACTTTGTTAAATACATTGAAATATTAACCTAGATATAAACTCGTGCTTAAATATAGATATATATTAAATATAAACAAAACTGCCAAACAAAATTCAAATTAGTAACATTTATTTAATGTGATGGAATGATGCACTGATAAAACTATTATCACTAATAGGGTTCAACAGTACAAAGAAAGAGCCCTGAATCTAATTCTATATTTAATATGTTTCTGCATTTAGGCTTCAACACTATCAATACAGAGAATGCTTTATGTATAAATTAATCATACAAACTGTAATAAATATTGAGCAATCAAATACCAATATTAATGAAGTGTTATTTGATCACTCTGTAAAGAAAGCTGTCTTTATTCACTTGAAGATTAGAATTGCACCAATTGTCAAAATTTGCCTGTATAAACATCTAATCCAATTGTTACTAGAGCTGAGAAGAAAAAGTATTTTCATTGCAATAACTATTACATTTAATTGTTTACAAATTGTTATAAGATAGTACACAACAAAAAGACCCAGGCAGCCTATCTCCTCCAAAATATGATCAAGTTACTGCTACACTGTAATTTCCATTAAAGTACTACTTCAGCTTGGATAGAAGTCATGAGTTAACTTCTGAAGTACTCTAAATTAGGAATCCACACTTCACAGGGGGTTAGTTAGCATGTGAAGTGCCCAAATCAGAGGTTAGCTCCCAATTAGTAAGTGTTTTGAATATCAACATCTGAATTTAGACATGTGTTTGTTAATTAGCATAAACGATGTTGGAAATAATTTTATATTGCTGAACTGGAATTCTTCAAGATATACGGATTAACTAGAAACACTGTACAAGTATCTTGATTCTTACCTGTTTGCGGTTTAAGAATCTGACAAGCCCTGCAATCTGTCTTCAGAGAAGTTTCTGGGTCTAAGCTTCCTTTTGATCCTGTGTCCCACCCCATCTTGGAGGATTCTGTCCGCTAATCCTAGTCAGATCTTTCTGGTATCTGCTGAGGGTTGAAGTTTTATTACAAGGTAGTAGAGTCTAAAAGAGCTAAACCCATAAAACAAGCTATATGACTTTTTGTGACTGCTTGCTAATACATGTTTGTATGGGTAGCAAATTCTGTCTAAGGCTTGTTTTATTATTTTATTATATATAACTCACTGGGAATTCCCTGGCGGTCCAGTGGTTAGGACTCAGCACTTTCACTACCAAGGGCCAGGATTCAATCCCTGGTTGGGGAATTGAGATCCCACAAGCCACACAGAGCGGCCAAAAAGAAAGAAAAAAAAAGAAAAAAGAAAAAAAATAACGTAACTCACTGACAGTAAAATTTCTAAGGAAAACCACCTATTGCCCTCACCTATCTATATAAAGGCCTCCTATTCATCCAAAAGAACCTATGAGTGTAAATGGCCAAATGGCTTAGGTCAGTTAACAACAGGTACTGACTACCATCTATGATACAAGTACCTTTGAGTTAGTCATCACTCATTCTCCTCTCTGTTTAAGTTACAGAAAAAGGTTTCTTAGGGCCTCTCCTCCCTTACATTCTTCCCAAGTGAGCTCATCTACTCTTATGTCTTCGATTACTGTTTGAAGACCACTCCCAAATATCTATCTTTATTCAGCTCTCTTGCCTGGGCTTCAAATCTGTAAGTATAATATTCACTCATTTGATAAAAATTTACTAAATTCAACCAAAATGCTCCAGGGCAATATGCCTGCAACTAGGAGGCAAGTATAGCAATTACAGTCTAGTACAGTGGTGAGCAAACTGCAGCCTATGGGCCAATTCTGGCAAGCTGTCTATTTTTGCAGGACCCCACAGGAATAGTTCGTATATTTTTAAGTGGTTACATTATAAATGATATTGTGTCTACATTAACTTAATTTTTGTCTCTTGGCCCACAAAGCCTACAATATTTACTATCTCTCCTTTTAAGAAAAAGTTTGCCAGCAGCTGTTCTAGGGAAAAAGATGGTAGTAATAAGCAGTAACACGAGTGTGTTAAATGTTAAGATAGGAAAGTAAATAATAAAGTTCTATATCAGAAGAAGACATGATCAGAGGGTCAGGAAAAGGCTCGCTGAAGAATTAAAATATGTGTGCACGTGTGTATGTTTAGGATTAGAGGACAGATAATTTTAAGGCCTCAAACTCAGCTGCTTATAAATATCACACCTGCTCCCCCATCTTCCCCTCCCAAAACAACACCCCCTACGATTCCATGAATATTCCCAATATTAGGAAACAGTGCAATCATCCAAACCGTTGCACGAACCCCTATCCTGGGAGATCATCCATGTCTACTCACTCTCTCATTCTCTGACATCCAATGGAGTCACCAAAATAGGATTCAAACCTTCTAGCTTTATTGCCACTAGCCTAGACTAAGCCACCATCATGTCACATGTCACCCGGATCACTACTAGTCTCCTTCTATGCACTGAATCAGTTTTCCACAATGCAGCCAGATCATTCTTTTTTTTAATGCAAACCTGTGTTGCCATTCTCTTGAATAAAACCTCTCGATGGGACTTCCCTGGCGGTCTAGCGGTTAAGACTCTGTGCTTCCAATGCAGGGAGCGCAGGTTCAATCCCTGGTAGGGGAAATAAGATCCCACATGCCACACGGCTGAAAAAAAAGTTACCAGGACAGCCAAACCAAAACCCCATGGATAAAATCTACAAGACTGGGTGACAAAGTAACCCCACGAATTCTCAAATACAAGAAGGATCTGGTTAAATCACCAACTATAGGACTCACATGGGCTCAGCGTATCTGCAGAAGGGAACACAAGAGCAGAAGTTACTGGGTAACTGAAGGACTTGAGGGGAGGAGAACCCCAAATCATGAATTGTTAGAGTTTAGAAAGGCAATTTGAGAATAGCTGCAAATGGAAGGGATCTTCTGCACATGCTAACGTTGTAAAATATGACGAGAGTAGACTCAAAAACAAGGGGCTGAAGTCCCCCTACCTGGAAAAAGCCCTATAACTGAAAATAAATTTCCGGGAAAAGAATTCCAAGTGATCTGGGCTTCCCTGGTGGCGCAGGGGTTAAGAATCTGCCTGCCAATGCAGGGCACATGGGTTCGAGCCCTGGTCCTGGAAGATCCCACATGCCGCGGAGCAAGTAAGCCCGTGCGCCACAACTACTGAGCCTGCGCTGTAGCACCCACGAGCCACAACTACTGAAGCCTGCGCACCTAGAGCCCATGCTCCGCAACAAGAG